GCGGGGAGCGCGGGGTGGCCGTGCCGCAGCGGGGACGTCGCCTCGCTCTTGGCTCGGCCCGGAGGAAATGGCTTTGGGCGAGCGCCGTTGCCATGCGCACGCTGAAAGGCGGGTGGACAAAGGCTGCGCCTGGGAAGTTTGCTCGGTGAATCGGGTCGGGGTTTTCTGTTTGCCCCATTCCCAGCCTCTTCCCCCCGCAGCTGCCTGGGGCCCTTTGGGCTACAGCCAAAGCAGAGGCTCTAACACCCTTCCACCCGTTCTCATGATCACTGCTCCCATTTCAGTGCCCTGCACCCCCGTTTTGTTACTCAGCACCCCCATCTTGCTGCTCAGCACCCCTGTTTTGTTGCTCAGCACCCCATCTTGTGGCTCAGCACCCCCGTTTTATTGCTCAGCACCCCATCTTGTTGCTCAGCACCCCCGTTTTGTTGCTCAGCACCCCCATCTTGCTGCTTAGCACCCCCATTTCAGTGCTCAGCCTCCCAGGTGGAGGAAGGGACCAGGCAGCTTCCCTGAGCTGTGCATCTCAAACCCAAGGGCAGAGCAGGGGCGTTTTGGGTGATGTCAGGGAAACAACACAACGTGTTAATTAGCCGGCAGGAGGGTGATCAGCAGGACGGTGTTTTTAACGAAGCAGGTTTCCAGCAGGCTGGGGGGGCTGTTGGTGCTTTACCACGCAGAGGGCCGCAGCCCGTCTGCACAGGCAGCCCCTGGCATAAATTCCTCTATTTTTTGCCTGCACTGTATTCTCACCCAGTATCAAAAATGGGGGGAACTGGGGTGGCTCTGGCAGTGACTGCATTTCTCATTTCTTGCTGGGGCAGAGGAGAAACACAACGCACTGCTGAACTGAGCCCCCTTTCCCTATTTCTTTTAAAACCAGCCTGTAACTCTCCTCCCTCCCTGACCCAGCTCCCTCTCCACCACAATTATCCTCCTTTGGGGTCATTTACTCCATCTCTGCCTCTGAGTAGTTCCTTTCTCAGGGAAACTCTGGGGTCAGGAGGTTTTTCCCCTCGACACGGGGCTCCTGGGCAGCGGGATGCTGAGTGCTGCCCTTTTCTCTTGCAGGTGGGAGCTCAGCAAAGCGAACGACCTGGGAAGGAGGGCACCGGGTGCCGGCGCTGGCGTACTGGCCTGGCCACATCCCTGCCAGGCAGACAAGCCACGCTCTGCTCAGGTAAGAGCTTGGACAGATCGTGTCGGGGAGCAGGGCAGCCCCCCTTTTTGGAAGCACCCACCGTCCCCGTGCTGAGACCCAGGTGATGATCTGGATCTTGGCAGCAGCAGCTGCCCCGCACTGGTTATTGCCTGCCTTGTGCCAGACTCTGTACTTTCGTCCTCTCCCAAGCCCGTAAGCCTTAATGCTTCAGCAAAGAGGAACTGAAAGGGCTTTTTGTGAGGCTGGCGGGTTGGCGTTAGCAGCCACTGGGCTCCGTGTGCCTCCTGGCCGCGGTGGCTGAGGGCCTCCCGATAATTAAAAGATGACGATGTTCTCTCTCTCCACCAAGAAGCAGGCTTAGGCTTTGTGGTCTGTGAATGGCTTTATGTGGAGGAGGGTGCGGTTGTGGGAAAGGCTGGCCGGAGAGATGGTGCTTTGCAATCAGCGCAGGATGCGGCCAGGCTGGGAGGTAGCGAGTGACTTTTGTTGTTTCCGGAGAGAGCGGAGGGAAGGGGCTGCTGCCTCCCCCTCCTCGCCTCGCCGGGGAGCGTGGAGGGGTCCTTGTTGCAGCAGTGCTGCACCTCTGCGTGCAGCGAGTGCACCGTTCCATGCGGAGTGCACCCCTCCTTACAGCCCTCCTTTGCAGCAGACGCAGCCGAGGGGGGGCACAGCCTGGGCTGGGGGCAGCGCAGTGGGATGCCCCGTCCCCTTTCAGCCCTTGAAGCACACGGTGGAGGTCAGGGTGGTGGTGCCGGAGGAGGAGGGGGGGTTGCTGGGAGTTAGGAACGTGTCCCAGCTGCTGGAAGCTGGTCTGGACTGGTGGGCCCCCGGGAGGTGTTGGGTGTTTTCTAAAGTCCAGGAGATAAGCTGGAGCCGTTTTACTCCTCACATGGCCTGAGGGCAGCTCTGGGAGCCGGATTTTTGCAAGTGGGGGAAGGTTCGAGGTGTGAGCTGGGGCACTGAGGTGGTGGAGGGGATGGGGTGCCCACAGCACCCCTTGGGTTTTACCTCCAAACCCTTCCCCTCCATGGCTGGGGGATGGACCGACCACTGGGACGTGGCCTGAGCTGCCAACCCTGCGGGATCAGTGCCCATCCCCATTCCCTGTCCCACGGGCCTCCTCCAGGCATTCCCCTTATCTCCTCGAAGACCTTATCTCCTGCATTCCCCAGCTCCAGTCCAGCAGGTCAGACAGCTGGAAATCTAGAAAGCCATCGGCAGCACGGGCTGTGCTGCACGCTGGGTGCTCGGGAAGCAGCTCTGTAGCTTCCCAGGAGTCACAGCACAGCCAGCATCCTCCACAGCACAGCCCGGCACTGCCACGGGGTGTGCCCGGGTGTGGGGCGATGTCCTGGCATCAGGAAGGGGCAACCCCCTGTTTGGGAGGCAGCAGGGAGCCAGCCTGGGGGACATGAGTGACAGCTCATGCTCAGAAATGTGTCACTACTGTGGTCCCAGCCACAGCCTGAGCTCTTGAGAAGGGGACGTGGAGAGATGCGGAGGGATGCGGAGGGATGCAGAGGGACGTGGAGGGAGGTGGAGGGATGCAGAGGGATGCAGAGGGACGTGGAGAGCAGGGGCTGGTCAGTGCTCACACTGTGTCAGGGCAGGTGGCTTTTCTCTGCCCCTAGAGTCCCCCCTGGGGACATCCCCCACAGGACAAGCGTGTGAAACAGGGCGGTTGAGGACTTGTCCCCCCAGCTGATGGGGAGGACCAAGACGCTGGGGAGGGGATGACATCTGGGTGCAGGTGCAGCTGGGAGACCTCCGCAGGGCAGGGCTGGGTGAGGACAGGCATTAGCTGCCTGCGTGAGCCTCCCTCTGCCCCTGAGGTTATGAAAATACCGACAGCCTTCGCCACCCGGCTTGGGAGAAAATCCTGTGCCTTGCCTCTCCCCGGCGTCGCTCGGCTTCGCATCCTCCCCGGTGCAGAGAGCCCGGTGAGCAGGGGTGAGCGTGCCCGGGGGCCAGGGAAGCAGAAAAATGCTGATGTGTCACCGTGGACTTGCACCTGCACGCTGGTTTCTGCAGAAAACTGCCATGTCGGCTTTTCTTAATTATATTTAATTGTCGGAGCCACCTGCTGTACTTGTGCCCTTCCCTGCCCCAACCCAAAGTAGGACACGGAAGAAATAGGTCAGTGGGGTGGTGAAGAAGCAGAATTGCACCACCCTGGCTGCGCCGGCAGCGTGGGGCTGGGCAGGTTGGGCAAGCTGGCCGGGGTGTGGGGAGAGTTGGTTCAGCTGCCTGCAGCTGCCTGCACCCCGTCACCGCCGGGGCAGGGCAGGGCAGCACTCCCTGCCGCCATCCTGCCCGGGGTGCTCAGCGCCTGCACAGCACCCGCACAGCTCTGCCCCTCGGGGCCTTCTTCCTCCGCCTTCGGGGCAGCAGCGGGATGCTGGAGTGACTTTATTTATTAAACCTCGCCTGGCCGGGGCAGGGGGGTGGCAGCGTGGCTTCCCCAGCTTGGCTCCCAGGATGTGCCTGCTGCTGAGGCCTTTGCTTCGATGCCAACTTTGACCAAAATCCTGTTTTTTCATGCCTTTTTCCATGGGTTACATCTGCCTGTGGCCGGGAGGGATCTTTGACCACCTCTGCCCACAGTCACATTGTCCTCCCACCCCGGTGACTGTTTCCAGCGGTCCCAACCATGCACCACGCTGGGGGCCTGATCCTGAGGGTGCTGAGCACCCATGGGACTGCCCTGGGCTCCCTCTGGGGTGGACCTGGGATGAACTCAGCGAGGTGCTGCAGGGTCGTGCCCTGCCTCGGGCGCAGCGGGGAGCCGGAATTTTTCTGGACGCCTCCCGGCTCTCCTGGTTGCTGGGGCCGTCTCGGCGAGCGTGCCGTACCGGGGCTGCCTCTCAGCAGTGTTTGTTCTTATTTGTTCTCGCCGTCTCTTAGCAGCTAAATTAAAACTTGTTGAATGGCAGAACCGGGGGCCCTTAAGCCCTGGGCTCTTTTCTCTCTCCGTTCACACAGCCGTGGCCGAAGGGCGATGGGGAGGATGGGGGTGGCAG